ACCTTGAATGCTCTTCCCTTAGAGCCAATCTTCTTAAAGATAAAGAATTCTTCTCCCACATCAACAGTAAAATTACATTCTTGGTAACCTTTTACACTGCATGTAATTTCAATACAGGCAGTGTCCTCCCTCTCCTCCGTGTTTGCCATTTCAGACATTTCAGTCCTGGGTTTCAGTGCTCAGCAAAAGCCGCGTAAAAAGGGAAGGGAGTTAGCGGTGATTTCACTTTCACCTTCGGAATTTTCCAATACCACTTGCCTATCATGCGATGCGGCGTCCGTTAATCGAACGTTCGATTATACCAATCGTTCGGTAATCGACCGTTCGATTGGGTTTGATTACCAGTCATTCGGTAATCGAACGTTCGATTGTGTTTGATTGGCAAAATTTTATTGTGAATTCGATTATGTTCGATTGAGTTCAGCAATCGAACGTTTGGTGTTCGATTGGGTTCGATTGCCGAACTGTTCGATTGGATAGGTCGGGATTATTTAAATATTGCAAAATTAATGTTTCGCTTACGTTTGTATTTAACCCCATCCAGATCCAGTAGGGCCTTTAAAACAGCGCGTCAATTTTAAAAGTTTTTTCATAAGGCAGTTTCTGTTTAGCACTTAGTGTTAGTTCTGGCCTTGAATGAAGATTCCATTAAAAAGCCTTGCGTTCAGACATAAAATTAGGGAGATCTTGTAAGCATGAATTGAAATATATGAAATGCGTATGAAGGTATGAAAGTGAAAATGATCATCGCATTAAATTCGCAGCCTATTCGGTTGAAAAATAACCTAAAAATTTTTGCAGCGTTATCGCAGAAAGTTAGAGGTAATATTACATTGTTGGGGAAAATACTCCGCGGCTTTAAATCAATAATTTCCCCGATGTTTTAATTCCGGTAGTGTAGTAACCTTTTCGTTAAGGCAGCTTCTAAAACGCACTCGAGAAAATCGCACAGTCTCTGTGAACTCTCACTTTAACTTGTGAGAGAGGCAAAAAGAAAATAGAGTGACATTACTTTCAAACCATTACCGGTTACCTTAGGCCGCGGTTTCAGAAATCATTGGACCTTCAGCCCTCTTTCTTGGCGGGTTAGTTTAAGAAAATAAGTGCTTTAGTTTTCCTGTCTGCCTTATGTGCTTTATTGAAATTATTCACGATAAATGGGGTTTGATAAAAGCGTTGGTTAAACTGAAAATGGCTTAATTATAACGCGATTTTGTAATATACCGGCTAAATAACTGGCCCTCAGAGTTTAATAAATACAAGTAAACAAAATATACAATAGAAAATTCCCCAGCAAGAAGTGCGTAAAATCACTTTTCTCGAAGTACAATAAATTTTAAGAGAAGCCACTACAGAGGCAAATGCATTCCGGTTCGGCAGAAAGACTTCCAATGCGGCTAATTTGTAATTGAGTTCTTTGTTGAACCGAAATCTTGTTGACGTACAGGAATTCAGTTGATATGAGAATTTGTCACCTCCAAGCAAATGAGCCGTAAAAAGTTGATTACTTCTACAGAGCTCCCCTGCTGATGTTCGCCTATTGAATAGGCGAACATCAGCAGGGGTCTACGATTTCAGACCTCTATGAATCTCGTCATATAACCAAGCAAAAAATCTCGTAAAAAAAATGGGGCGGGATCGGGATTCAGACGTAAAATAGAGCAGGATGGCGGGATTCAGAAGAAAAAAGGGCGGGAAAGCGGGATTTGAGAATCCCTATTGTGGACCCTCATTAATTAATGGCAACAAATGGTTATTACAAAAGTAGGTTGAGTTTGATCGTCCGGGTGAACATATCATCAACTGACGTGATACAACTCACTTTGACTCTGAAGATGACTACCGCACAGGTTGTCGAAACGTCAGTCACTGTCAACAACAACAGTCCTATTCAGGACTACGCTCACCCGGACGATCAAACTCAACCTACTTTTGAAATGACTCCTGGGTTCAAACCTTTCACAAATGGTTATTAGTTGTACATGATTCCAACCTTTCAAATCTGCATGCAGTCATTATTTAATGTGATAGTTTAAAGCTGCCACGAGACGTGTCAACTGTGGTGAAACAAGTAAAATTAACAAGAAACAGAAGGAAAATTAGAAACCTATCATTGTGCTTCATGGTTTTTATGCACTATCGCTTTGTTTGTCCACACACAAGAATACAATATAAAAGAATAAAAAGCGAAAATGAAATTATTTTGTTTTATTCCTGGAACTGTGGATCCAAGTTGAGAATTTCCTTGTGAGCTTCTGAAATAGACAAATAGAAGTCTTCAACAGTGTGTCCGTGGAAAAGTCCAACTTTTTCCAGGCCTATTTACACGATCAAAACGTCTCAATATGATACTTTTCTAAGGGTAAAAATGTCTTGAACCTTGAGAGACCAATTTATCCACAGACAGGAGTAAAAATAGCAATGAAAATATTGTGTAGCTAACCACAAAATTCTCTATTTTTAGGAGCTTCTATATTCCTTCGCATAGAGTGACCATTATCAAAGTACACAACACACAGTAAAAAGTGGCGTCGTTTGAGAAATTTCCAAACAATCAATTTTGCCCCTTTCTTCATATTTTTCTTTTTCACGCGTTTATCCTTCGACCCTTTAAGTTTACCATGTTTCATGTATTAATCTCTACACAGGATGCCTTTGCAATTATTGATCATAGCAGAATCCAGGACGCGTGTCACGTACGAACTAAGTAAACTCTCTTGCTCTCTATGAGTCACTAGTTTGAACGCCCACGGGACCGATATCAGATGTATTCGAATCCCATCGAGTAATCTATTTTCCTTTCTTCCGCAACCATAACGTCACGTACTGTTGTAAGCGTTAAAAACCAACTTTGTGAGGCCACTTTGTCTTTCGCAAACAACACACATTTTCAACAGAGCATTCGGTAAAGTTTCAGATTGTCTGCGCCATCCTACCTAACTCCTCTCCAACAATGGAACCACTCGCTTGTTTAGTTTACGTGCAGAAGCTGTTAAAGAAATGCGTCAATTAACAACTGCTTACCCTTTCGCCGTGACGGGCGCAGAAAAAGCGCCTGGCTAATAATTGTAATCGGTGTGAATATACTGTGGGATTCACCCAGCATCTTTGAATAAGATTCGGCGAATTTTAGACACGCCTGTGACCTGTCGAACAACACTAGGGGTTACATCAGGTTCATACGAAATTACCGTCATCTAGCCAATGCTTTTGTTTCGCTTATCTTTAATATTTCAGGTCTTTTATTGTTTGTTAGCAATAGGCTAGCATGGACTGTCGCAATCTTGAGCCCAGCACAACTGCTGACCAGGCCAGGAAGACTCTGGGCTCGAGATTGGCACTGTCGGCCACTTGAACTAATTAAAAAGATCACTCGCCAAATAATTAATCTTTTGCTGACCATCCTTATGCCCATTTTTCTCCTTTATTGCTAGTTATCTTCGCCATTAAATTGTAATACATAAAATAAACAAACTCAAGTGTGATCGATACTCCACGCCTTTTGACTCGAGCCACGTCCACACTACGCAGAAGAAATTTTATTTCTCCGGTTCGGCATACAGTTTACGCTAATCTGTCACAAGAACGGAGCTTTTCAAAAGCGCTCTTCAAACCGGAGGAATTTGAAAACAGTAGCTTTCCGCTTTAGTGTGGACGGAAACATTTAAAATACGTAACGTTTCGAAAACGCTCCTTAAATCTGAGGAATTTGAAAGCGCTAGCTTTCTGTTTTAGTGTGGACGGAAAACATTTTAAAAACGGAGCTTTTATAAAACGATGACATCACGATAATGGTGTGATTTCCCTGCCAGACTTTTCCTCAAACACAAATCTGAAATGACCGGCCGGTTATTGTTACCTTTTTAAATTTCTCCATGAGCAGAACCGTTTTAAACTTTCTCCGGCGTAGTGTGGACGACAACAGCAACAACAACTATTTCTACTCACTCAGCTAAAAGTTTAAATAAACAAGAATAAGTTTAAATGAAAACGAGCTCATGGATGCCCGAAATAACCTTAGACTTTAGTTATGTAAGTATTCCTACAGACAGGGTGAAATCAAAGTCAACCGACATTTACCTAAAATAGACTGTTCACAACCCTCTATTTTCTCCTATTTTATTCTATTGTTGAATGCCTGGATAGAATCGGAAGAGAACTGGACGCCAGCGCAAAACGGAAGACTTGAGGTGGTGGTGACCGAGAAAAATATATATATTCTTCTTGGTCGCTTCGCTCGCAAACCCGACCTCCAAGACCACGTGCTTCGCGCTAACTTCGCCCGCTTGTTCTTGCGCATGCTTGAATAGAGAGGTCGGTGACAGTTTATACCTAAAACTGCAATTAAAACACGTGCAGTTGTCGTTCAATTTATGAAACGAAATCTCTATTACATCCTGCAATATAATGTCTGCTGAAATATTTAACAAAGATCATAGCTAAATATTTTGAAACGTGAGCCACTCATTTTTCTTCTACTTTCCCCCTTTTTGAAGAATTTAGGCAATTAAAATTGCCCTTAGATTGGTTCCCAACTGAATGCCTTAAAACCAAAACCAAATAATAACTTAAGTCAATAACAAAGCACAAAAACAATCCAATGAACCAATAGAAACTCGAAGTATTTACAGGTGGCTGACTCGAATTACGGGAAAACGTGTGGGTCGCTTTTGTTTTACCTCTGATGGAACGACAAAGTGGCGCGAGTTTCTAAAGCGGGTCATATAGCATGTTAATGCAGTCAAAAGCAAATGCAAATCACTTTCAACACTCGAGAAACTTTTTATCGCCCACCCCCTTTTTTTGCTGAAGTCAATGAAAAAGGAAGAAAACCTCTGTACTCGGCCAGGGAAATTGGTAAGCGTTCACTAACATACTTCCTCATGGATTCCTATTACTTAACAAAAATTTTTTTGTTTGACAGCATCAATTACGATTCTTAATTAGTTTCCATTGTTATAAAATAAGAAGATGGTGAACGTTTGGGTTCATGTAAATATTCAGAGCCTGAAGTTATTAATCGAGTGCTCGTTAACAGGCAGCAAACGGCGTCTCTCGTCATCGTTATTGCTTTCATCTTCTCTTAAACTCTCATATCCATCATGATTTATAATTGGAGCCAAACCGCCATTGTCATTACTGTTACCAGTGACAACAAGAAGACGCAAAATAACACCTACAAGAACGACCAGGACGCACGAATTGACAAACATAACAACCCAGACGAATGCAACTGTGTAGGAGCTGTCCAAAGCCGAAAACCTCACCAGCATAAAAGACGTGGACAACACGAACAACACCAGGGGCTCGAAAACATTCTCTTGGGCCCATCGGTTAATCGACCGATTGTCATAGGGCTCTAAACGTAAGCAAAGAATGGCTGAAACCATAAGTATCAGCCAAACAACAAACGTTTGCAAAGAAGAGGAAGAAGAAATCATAGACAACGCTATGGCGAGAAGCAAGCGTCGAAGAAGCATGAAAATCTCGAAGAAGTGCTGGTACTTTGGTTTGTAAGGTAAATAGACAGGACCAAGCCAAGCATCAAGTTTCTCGCGATCTTCAGGACTCATGATTTCTCTCTTTCGAAAGAAAGCAAACATCAGATAAATGAGAAGCAAGGGAAACCCAATAAGATAAAACGCAACAGAGACGCCACCAAGGACTGATAGAGTTTTGTAAGTGTGAGAGGTGCATTCAATCCAGGGAAAGTTTGGCATGTAAAGAACATCACGGTCATTGTGGCATGGGCGTAGAATGGAGAGAGTTTGCTTTACAATGGGAAAGTAGCTGAAGTTAAGGCAAAAGAAGGCACTTTGACGACATTTGAAATGAACGTTGTTCATGCGTTCCTGGTCTCGACGAAACCTGTCGTAAGTCATCAAGATGATGAAATACAAGCCTATCATTGCCATGCAAGCAACTGGAAGAAGAAGCAGAAAAGCAAACTTGCCGACGGGAGTGAAAAATGAAGGTAAGTCGCAGGAAAGCGAAGGAAAATAAAGGTTCCAGTAGCTACTCAAGTACGTCTGAGCCACTACGACCTTTTTAGGCCAAACATTGACACTGGATATCAAAAAATCCATGGTTTGGATATAAAACACTGTGATGCTGATGAGAGGTCGGGCTGCTTTTCCTCTACTGGTCATACACAGCACAAAGACTACCAGATTTAGTTTGAAAACCCAGGCTGGCAGTAATTCCAACAACATGAATGTTAACATTAAAAGAAAATGAGCTGCCGTAACTGCAAACCATTTGATTGGTTTCAGCTTGAAGTAAAAATATGACCAAAGTAGAGCAAGGAATGACACAGCAAAGGAAGGAATAAACAGATAGTAGTAAATTTGGTCGCCCTTTGGACATTTGAAGCACAGTCCACCAAGTTTATAAAATCCGTCTTGACAACGAGAGCAAAACCTGTCCGTGTTTCCTTCATGGCAGATGCAGGAGTGATTGCATGTTGTGATCAGTGATGATACTGAAGGTCTGTGGTGGGACGAGTTTGTGTGCTTTGGTGTTGTTTCGAGTCGACATGTGCAGGAAGCTGATGGATTACATGCAGTTGATACTGGGCACTTGACCAGATGGGTGACACTGTTAGAAGTGGGCGATGGCCAATAGCCACTTCGCAATTTCATGATGTTTGGGTGGACATAATTTGATTCAGTGAAGCCAGACTGAGGGCACGTCCCACCATCCATGCATTTCTTGCACATCCCACTATCTCCGTAGAAACCTGTATCGCAGACGCAATATTTGTACTCGTAAAATGTTGGATCCAGACGAATACGGCCATTGCTTATTGTGAGTCGTCCTTCAGGACAACTAAACTTATCTTTTTCCTTTGGTGTAAACATTCTTGAAAAGTCAGGACGAAAGACAGTCGACGATGCTGTAGTTGCTTCTCGCATAGAAGGATTTCCAGAAATATCCAAAAATTGTAAGGAGATGAGAGTTTGGATCCCTAGTGGAAAACTTCCAGACAGGTTATTCGAAGAGATGTCAAAATAATTCAGGATGGACGTGTCCCCAAAAATATCCGGTATCTCTCCGTAAAACTTGTTTTTATGTAAATCGCAGGTAGTCATGACAAAGTCGAACACTCTTGAGGGCAAAGGACTATCTATGTCACAATTGCTCAAATTTAAAACTAATGGACCTCTGCTGAAGATTTCCATAAAGCTTGCTAATTCAATGTTCAAATTTCTATTTCCTGCCAGAGAAATGTACGGTTGAGCTACTGTGCTGTTTTTTTTTTGACCACGGCTTCCCTTTATTAATTGAAGAAAACTTGTTTTGCGACAAATCGATCATTTCAATATTTGGCAAAAGAAGCAACTGACCTGGGATATCCCCTTTCAGTTCATTGTTTGCCAAATTCAGCGCTTTAAGGGTCTTAATTTCCGGAATTGTTTGAGGAAATTTGCCCGAAATACTGTTACCAGGAAGAACGAGACTTACTAAATTTGCTGGCAGCATTGAAGGCATTTCGCCAATTAATTTGACCCCAGACACTGACAAAAATTTTAGCGAAGAAATCGAAAATAAGTCACTTAGATGGCCATGCATCATACCAGGTGTGTTTTGTAGGTCCAGATAATAGAGCTTGTTTAATCTAGAAATGCTTCTTGGAATTTGTCCCTTTAGCCTATTTCCTCCAAGACAGAGTAATCGCAGCTCCGTCATGTTTCCTATGTCGTCTGGCAAACGACCTGTGAACCCATCACCGTGCATGGTACAACCCAGGAAATTCTGTAGATAACTCAGTTTGGAGATATCTTGAGGAATATCTCCTGAGATGGAGGCTGCGTTGAGCACCACGGTGAGTAGTTTGCTCATATTTCCAAACAAAAAGTCACCAATGTGTCCCCTCAGTCTTGGATTACCAGGAGTGCACAATGCCATCAAGTTCCGGATCTTCCACAAATTTGAAGGAAGAGAACCATCCAAGTTGTTGTAAGCCAACACGATAGTTTTAACGTATGTGTTGTTGTGGCAGGTGATACCATACCAGTCACAGTGACTTGTTGAACTATTCCACGCGGTCGTTTCGTACCACTGCTTGCCATTTGTTGCTTCGTAAATGTCGAGGAGAACTTCTCTCTCTTGGTTGGGTGTAAAAGTTTTATCGTAGGTGACAATGGGAAACTCGCCATAATTATAAACGCGCTGCAAACAATCATAGCCCTCGTTGGCAACGAAGATTTGCCAATCTGAAAGGAAATAATTTTGTATTACTTAATGTTGATCTGTAGCTAGTATAAAATTTTTACGTAGATTTAAGAGGGGCACCTGGCATTTTGCTTTCACGAGTGTTAGTAAAACATGAACGTTTCATGAAATAATTCACTTGAATTAAAATGTTAAGATAACAATTCCCCAAAACGCATTGGCGATCATGAAATCGTGCAGTGGACCATACGTACGGCGATCTTTTGTCTGGTCATTTTAGGTGTCATAAACCAATTCTAGGTAGTGTAATGTGCACGTGATGTCCAAAAATGTCATTGAGCTAGAGTACGCTTTGATACAAATTTCCTCTGTATTTTCTCCTTCGATTGAGCAAGCAGCGCCGAAGCCATGTTCTTTCCAAGTTCAAAATATTATTCCTTGGTAGTCTGACTTCGATGCTAGTTACGCCTTCTTCCATAAAACTGAATTAAGTTGTTTACAAGCTCAGATCAGAAATTAATTCACGATAAAAAACTTGTTAAAAGGTGCTCTTTAAAATATGTTAAATTAGAAGAACTATAGACCTTTGCATAAATAGCGCCTAAATTTAAATAAAAGTACTTTCTTGACATCCTAAGCCTCACATTCATGTGAAAAATCAGTTGCCTGGAAACATAAGCCATCTATGCAAAGGGTTTACTTGTGCATGCAGTGACTATGCATGTTTCTACTAACGTGATCAAAGTTATTTATCGGTGAAATGGAGTGCTTGATTTGTCAAGCTAAGAACAACCGAAAAAATAATCCAAATTAGAAACGCAGGCAATTTCATGAAAGGTAGCATAAATAAGGGTTAAATAAACCAAATATAAGATCATTTTGGTTAAGCAAGTCAAATTACGTTTGATCCGAGTTTGAGTTCAATTAAGTCAAATGGCCGTTGTTTTTCTGTGTTGCTACTTTGAGACTTCCTATCAACAATGAAATTTTACCGCTATGGTCGGAAGTTTGCTGTGATCATGAAGCTGCTAATAGGAAGAACGTTAACTGAGTTTGAAAACCGACCTCACACGCCCTAATCTTGATGAGATTCAAATTCAGATCTTTTATTGGATATGACGCTAAGTACTAAGATTTTTCCAATTGAAATTTTGGAACAGCTGCGACGCATCTTCGTCATAGCTTGAGAAAGCTAGAGGTCGCGCTGAACAATTTTGTAGTTTTTAAAGTTTGTCTGTGTTTTTATCCTTTCGTAATCGTTACTGCCGGCCAATGGAAGCAATGTTGTAAATTGCTAATATCCCATTAAATTTTCTTTATAGATATAAAACATTTTTTTCTACAGAAAAAATTTTCAAATTTGCAAATATTTCCCTCTGTAATACTAAATAACATTTCTTATTTATTTCCTTTATTACCGATCAAAAACCTCGCCGTTTACCTGCGCATGCGAAACTAGTTTTCTCTGTATAGATGAAAGGAGCATAGACTTTGCAATTTAATAAGTGATGCATACAAGAGGAGGGGCGGTGTTGTATCATTATTTACAAACTCGAGGCGCAGCGTCGCTACTTTGAGATTTGCTATCAACAATGAAATTTTATCGCTGTGGTCGGAAGTTTGCTGTGATCATAAAGCTGCTAATAGGAAGAACGTTAACTGAGTTTGAAAACCGACCTCACACGCCCTAATCTTGATGAGATTCAAATTCAGATCTTTTATTGGATATGACGCTAAGTACTAAGATTTTTCCAATTGAAATTTTGGAACAGCTGCGACGCATCTTCGTCATAGCTTGAGAAAGCTAGAGGTCGCGCTGAACAATTTTGTAGTTTTTAAAGTTTGTCTGCTAGTTTTACGCCACGGTTTCCCCAAACAACATTGCAATAGTCGAAATGAGGCTGAATCAAGCATTTGTAGATAGGATGCAATGTTGCTGCGGGAACAAATTGCCTTACCCGTTTGATAGCTGCAATACCAGAGGCAATTTTTTTTAGCCAACTTCTCGATATGACTGCCCCAAGTAAGGTTTGCATCAATTAGTACACCTAGACATTTTGACGTTGATACCTGGTTTACGGGAGTACCATTGATGCTCACAACGGGAGAGTCTGTTATGGTGTTTAGCTTTTGCCTCGAGCCGATTGGCATAAACTCAGTCTTTGTCATGTTAAGTTTGAGTTTGTTAGCGATCAGCCATTTGCTTATATTTAGCAAGTCCTCATTCAAACAGCTTGGTTTTAAGATCTAAGATCTTCCTTGTTACCTTACGTTTTTTAACCTTCGAGGCGAAATGAACCTTTCTTATATGATTTCACTCACCGTAGATATCTCGGGACCCCAATGATAACTCTTGGGATGAAAGCTGAAAACGCACACTCAGACGAATCAGTGTCTGAAGCAGCCCCATCTCAAGCAGATACAAAATGGAAACACTCGTCATAGCGCTTTACATGTAAAAGCAAATTTGATGCATCCGCATAATGTGTTTTTATCCTTTCGTAATCGTTACTGCCGGCCAATGGAAGCAATGTTTTAAATTGCTAATATCCCATTAAATTTTCTTTATAGATATAAAACAATTTCTTCTACAGAAGAAATTTTCAAATTTGCAAATATTTCCCTCTGTAATACTAAATAACATTTCTCATATATTTCCTTTAATACCGATTAAAAACCTCGCCGTTTAGCTGCGCATGCGAAACTAGTTTTCTCTGTATAGATGAAAGGAGCATAGATTTTGCAATTTAATAAGTGATACATACAAGAGGAGGGGCGGTGTTGTATCATTATTTACAAACTCGAGGCGCAGCGTCGCTACTTTGAGATTTGCTATCAACAATGAAATTTTATCGCTATGGTCGGAAGTTTGCTGTGATCATGAAGCTGCTAATAAAAGGAACGTTAACTGAGTTTGAAAACCGGCTTCACACGCCCTAATCTTGATGAGATTCAAATTCAGATCTTTTATTGGACATGACGCTGAGTACTAAGATTTTTCCAATTGAATTTTTGGAACAACTGCGAAGCATCTGCGTCATAGCTTGAGAACGTTAGAGCTCGCGCTGCACGATTTTGGACGTTTTTGAAGTTTGTCTGCTAGTTTCACGCCACAGTTTTCTTTGTTAGCGATCAGCCATTTGCTGATACTTAGCAAGTCCTCATTTAAACAGCGCAATTTTAAGATCTAAGATCTTTCTTCATACCTTACGTATTTTAACCTTCCAGGCAAAATGATATGACGCTAAGTACTAAGATTTTTCCAATTGAAATTTTGGAACAGCTGCGAAGCATATGCGTCATAGCTTAAGAAAGTTTGAGCTCAGGCTGCTTGATTTTGGACGTTTTTCAAGTTTGTCTGCTAGTTTTACGCCACGGTTTCCCCAAACAACATTGCAATAGTCGAAATGCGGCTAGGTCAAGGATTTGTAGATAAGATGCAGTGTTGCTGGGGGATAAAATTGTCTCACCTGTTTGATAGCTGCAATACAAGACGGAATCTTTTTAGCCAACTTCTCGATATAACTGCCCCAGGTAAGGTTTGCATCAATGACTACACCTAGCGATTTTGACGTTGATACCTGCTTTACGGGAGTACCATTGATGCTCACAACGGGAGAGTCTGTTATGGTGTATAGCTTTTGCCTCGAGCGGATTAGCATAAACTCAGTCTTTGTCGTATTAATTGTGAGTTTGTTACCGATCAGCCATTTGCTTATATTTAGCAAGTCCTCATTCAAACAGCTTGGTTTTAAGATCTAAGATCTTTCTTGTTACCTTACGTTTTTTAACCTTCGATTCGAAATGAACCTTTCTTATATGATTTCACTCACCGTAGATATCTCGGGACCCCAATGATAACTCTCCGGGTGAATAGCTGAAAACGCCCACTCAGAAGAATCAGTGCCTGAAGGAGTCTCACCTCAAGCAGATACAAAGTGGAAGCACTCGTCATAGTGTTTTACATGTAAAAGCAAAGTTGATGCATCCGCATAATGTGTTTTTA